ACACACACACACACACACACACACACACACACACACACACACACACACACACACACACACACACACACACACACACACACACACACACACACACACACACACACACACACACACACACACACACACACACACACACACACACACACACACACACACACACACAAAAGACAGGTGAACATTATTTTCTGTGGTGATCAACATTTTGCTATAAGTGCAGGTGATTAAATTGTACTAAACTTGAAGTATTCTTTAAGATTCACATGATATAAAATGCCCTGCCATTCTGGAGAATAACAACCTGGCATTAATCAAGACACTTCGCTTTTACGTCATAAGATGTGCAGTTATTTTTATCTGTGTAATGGCAAAAAAAGCTCTTTGTTGAGCTAGATATCCACTTCGTTTTTTCCCTCTGTCTTGCATTGTTTCACTGTCATTCCTCTTTCCTTTTTTAGCTATTCTTCTATTCTGAAAGCTATTTTTTTTTCTTTTGCATTTTATATTACTTTCATGCAGTTCCTGATATATTTCTGGATGGTGGACTCTAAAAACAACTTAACAGCAAATGTAAGCTGTTCTTAAAGCAATTGTTCACCCAACAATGGAAATTCTGTCTTCGTTTACTCACCCTCCTGTCGTTCCAAATTTGTATGACTTACTATCTTCTGTGGAACACAAAAGAAGATATTTATAAAAACGTTTTTGTCCATATAATGAATGTCAGTGGGGTCAAAAGTTGTTTTGGTCTCCACTGGTCATCACTTTATGGACACAAAAACTGTTTTTTTTTTCTCATGATATCTTCCAAAGAAGAAACAAAGTCATACATTTAGAACAACATGAGATGATTAAATTACAGAATATCCCATTTTGGGTGAACTATCCCTTTAAATAAGTGAAATACTACATCTCAGACTTCTGTGCTGCAATATAGGAGTGTATAAACCATTTTGTGAACATTTGGGTATATAGTTCTTCAAATGCAACCTCTGTGTTGCTGTTGCTGTATAAAGAGGACTTAAGAGACTTTTAAAGTGTACCTGTGTGCAATTAGGTCTGGCCTAACCAATATGGAGCATGTGAAGTTTTGTGTGGTTCAGGGTTGTTTGTGTGCCTGTATTCACTCGTCAGATTTACGATGTGGGTCCGGCCATGCGGAACCTCTGCTTCTGGGCTGTGGTTCTGTTCTGAGAAGTTCCTAAAGCCCGAGCTCTAATCATGGCCTCCTGCCTGTTGTTTGATGTCTGCGGCCCCGTGACCGAGATGACGTGGCGGCCCCTTCAACGCAGGCCACAGAAGGGGGACAACTCCCAAACAGATTATGTGCTGCCATGCATGCGAGTCATAGGAGACGACCACAACAGCAAATTACAAGGCTGGAATGTAGGAGGTAAAAGTTTGGTCTCAAACAAGGGTTATTCAAAGGGCTTGACCTGCAGCTCTGACCGGCTGTGAGATGGTTAAAGGGATAGTGAAAGGGAAAAATGACTGTTCTGTCATTATTTACTCACCATGTTGTTCATAACCAGTTTCATAACCAGTTTCTTTCGTCCATAGAACACAACTCTTTTTAAATATAACAAAAGTTTTTAGAACTGAATCTCAGAAAAGTTCAAAAAGCACCATAAATATATCATAAAAATGGTGTAAATGACTCATGCTCTTCATCAGTGGTTCTCAACCTCTTGGATTCTCAAGGCCCCCATATTTTCCACAACAATGTTCAAATACCCCATAATTAAGGATAATTATTTGAAAATCTGGAATCTGAGGGTGCAAAAAAATCTAA